CTTCACCCTTACGTACCTTCCTTTGGGGGGGCGCCGATTTATGTTCTCGCTTCCACCTGAATAATATGTAGTTGCGCCCCTGCTTTCATGGTATCATAAATCACAAAAGCTTCATAATGTAGTCATTTTAGAGGAAAAGGCACAAAACCACATAAAAACAAATTCATGTTAAAATCACATCAACACCTCAAATCTGATTGATATAGTTAGGAAACTTTTATTCAGTTTGTGGAATCAGATTTTAAGACCCTTTTATTGCTGAAAGCGTCTTAGAAAGGTTTAGCTCCAAAGCTACAGAGAGCTCAGACGGAGGCAGAATTATTTGCATGCCCTTTGCATCCAGTGCATGTTACAGATTAGAGGTGAACTGGGGTCATGACTTCCGACTGATGAGTTTTGTGAATTCTCGCAGAGATTTTGTAGTCCAAGTTCAGTTTGTCCAAAGTTGCAAGTAGAAAAGTCTAAATGTTTGGTTCCAGCGTTTAACTCACAGGATTCCAGGGTTTCGGGCCGAGGCCGTCCACCAGGGGTTTTTATTAACAGATGTTAAGTTGACAGGAAATGTAAAATATTCCTGGGTAATTATGTTACTGGAAAACATTGCAGACAATACTTACACGCACAATTATAGTTTTAAAAACAACAAATAAAGAAATACAATTAAAATGAATATAATTTATTTGCACTTCTATTAAAACCAAACAAGTCATCAGTCAGTGGATCTAAAAACATGACGTAATGCTGATCACATTTAAAGCCGGCCCAAGGCATAAATGATCTAAGAGACTATCAATGCTGCTAAGTTTGATTTAATGGTTTCAGCATAGGTCAATTAAATTATTTAACATTTGAATGTAAGATTTTAAGGAGCTGGCAAGTTTACTTGATAAAAGTTCAGATTGATTTGTTACCATAGCAACAATATGATGCTATGAGGTTAATCTTCGAGTTTTAGTTACATTAATGCATCTTAGTAAACTACAATTACATTTGACTCCTGGTCAATTAAACTAGGCCCCCTGTCCCAGAGTTCACTAAATCTCTGTTGAAATGCTGTTAGTGGTGCTGATGGGGCCCTGGGTCTGATTGGTGCGTTCCCTGTTCACTGCATCAACTATTAAAACTATAAAAACTATAAACTATCTCTCTTTCAGGAATAATTCTGCCCTGCCAGTGAAATATTCACTGCAGAAGAGACGCTTGCATTTCGGCTTATTACAAAAAATAAAAAATAATTTTTTAGTAAAAACAAAAACATACAGTGCTTAGCCTGGTGGGGGGAAACCCTGGGATCCCCTACATCGTCCCCTGCCATCAGAGCCTCTTCAGACTGTCTGGTTAAGTTTTATTTTTCTTGGGAATGTTCCCAATCAGAGGGAAAAGTCTGTTTATGCGAAGCACTTTAGGATGAGCGCTTCTGCAACCTCCGCCAGGATCAAGAAGAATTTACCGAAAGACGTCGAATGACTGAGGGTCAGTTCCTTCTCTATGCAAACGAGGGAAACAGCAAAGCGCTAAGCTGCTAATAACAGCATTGTTATTAGCAGCTTATAATGTTGATAATGGCCATTGCTTTTATAGCAGCATTGAACTTCTGTTAGCGCTGTGTGCTAGCTTTTTGCTACCTCCTTCTCTACATAACTGTACTGCTAATAACTCCATAGTTATGTGGAGGCTTTGTTTACGTCATTCATATTGTGGTAGCATTAATATTCAATAGTGTCTGACACTGGTGAAACTAGGTGGCTGGTTTGGACGCTGTGTGTAGATACAGTAACTCCACTGCGACGCGTTAAGCTGAATGCTCGGTTCTGCAGGTCGTCTTTGTTCTCCTGCTCCAGCTCAGACATGTGAGGACATTCATAACATTCAGATCACGATATGATGGATGACGGTAACAATATTTATCGTGATGTGATTTGTATAAAACTCACAGTAGAAATGAAAACAATCACATGCTAAATGAGTGAGATGTATCTGTGTTAAAACTCATTTAACTGGTGTTTTGTGTTATTTGTACATAATGTGTAGCTGGTTTTTATGCTGCTGTCAGTGAAGACCACCTGGTTAAATCAAACTTAAATAAATAAATGAAGAGTATTTTCTTCCATTGTTGTACTAAACTTGGAGATCACGCTTCGTTTTAAGGTGGTAAAACAAATTGCTTGTATTTTCTCTCTTCCACTCACTTTTCAGATTTTTCTGCTCCTTTAACAATCCTGCGGTTTTTAGAGACGGGGTCATTTAAACCCCACAAGTTTTTCATGCACGATCCGGCGGGGTTGCGCTGTGCACTTTTGCTGGTTTCAGAAGGCCCGCCACCCCGCTCCGATCGTGGCACTTGCTGTGTTCCTGCTGAGACCTCTGGAGGGTAAAGAGACGGGTCCATTAGACTCGGTGAGCTTTACCCTGTGTGCATCTTTCAGGGCTGGGCTCGCACCGATCCAGTGTGCGTTTTACCTCTCGCTTCTCAGCTGTCTGACCGTGACATCTGCCCCACTCTTCCTGAGCGCCAGGCTGAGACCGTGGCCAGTTACACCTGAACCAGCTCTTCCTTTGCGCTCTCAGCCACGCTGCTTCCTGTTGCTCTGCTTTGATGCCACCTGGTTATGTCATCAACAAGCATTACTGCGGTTGGCTGGTAGACTGCAGATCTCTATCATAGGCCTTATTGTTTCTACCATATACCGTTTATATCACGCATTCCTAGTTGACATCTTTAAAAACTTTAGAATAAAAAGTTTTTCTACTGGTATCTAATCATATTGCTGCTACCAAACTACAAAAATGGCCGAACAGGATGGAGTAGAACCTCAAGAAGTCAGTGAGATAAAATCAATTTGGAAGTTTTCTGCAGCAAATTTCATGATAAGGAAGCAAAGTTAACAAAAGCCTTCTTACTGAACAAAAGGCACAGATGGGAGCATCAAGGAGTGTGAGCAAAATATAAGTCAACATTTCTCTGTGCAATTGCAGTACAAATATAGGCCAGCAGAAGTCCAAGCAATGCCTTGTAAATAAAAGTTAACCAATGGGATCAAGCAGCTCAACCAGCAACTCATTGACTAGTTGCTACCAAAGCAACTAGTCCATGACACATGAGAAAGAAACCTATTGTTGAAGGTCCTGACCTAAAATTTCAAAATAACAATTCTGCTTTTTTTTTTCTTCAGATTTGCCACATTATGTTTGTTACTAAGCAAGATTCTCATCATTTTATACTCAACCAACAAGAGACTGCTGATCTGGACCAGAGGGAAACAGAATCTCTACAAACCACAGGAAGGGAAGAGGAACCAGAACCGACAGAACCCAAAGAAGAGTATGGATCAGAACTGCTGCAGTTTGTCAAGAAAGAAGAACTCGAGCAAGAAACACATCCTGTAACAGGAGCAGATGGATATGTATCTTTTGAAATAAAAGAAGAACCAGAGGAACTGAAACAGATGGGGGAAGATTATCATCAATTGGAATCTCAGCAGGTGGTGAAAACTGAGGTTGAAGACATCAGTCAGTATGAAAACAAGGCTGTACTGAATCAGGAGACAGATTCCTTAAAGAGAGGAAACTCTGCACCTGTTGGAATCAAAGAGGAACCAGTAGAACTCAAACCTAAGCAAGTGAAGGAAGAGGAGCATGGATCAGGACCTGAGCAGATGGTGAAGATGGAGGCTGAACGCATCCGTCTGGATGAAGACCAGGATGTTCAGAAGCAGGAGACTGCTGATACAGACAACCAACTACAAGAACTAAATGGAGACCAAATCCTCCTTCAGAACTTCCCTAAAGCAGAAGATCATCAGGAAATAAATCTTCATGAAGCCTCAGGATCCAGGAGAGATGATCAGCAACACAAGAGAGCTCAGAAAACTAGAGGACAGAGGGACGAAGTAGAGGAAGGCATGGAGGGCAGGGAAATTCACAAAAGTAAAAAATGCAAACAATGTAAAGTGTGTGGGAAAAGTTTAAAATGGAATTGGTATTTAACAATTCACATGAGAACTCACACAAGTGAGAAACCTTTCTCTTGTGTAACCTGTGGAAAAGCTTTCAGGCAAAAATGTAGTTTGAGTCAACACATGGTAGTTCATTCAGAAGAGACGCTGTTTTCACAAAAACCTTTTCTACATGTTATAAATGAAAAAGGTGATTTAACTGACCACATGAGGAATTACACAGGGGAAAAACATTTCTGTGGAAAATCTTTCAGCCAAAGTCTTAAATGGATTGGACATAGAAGTAGTCACTTTGGCAAGAAGCCTTTTCCATGTATTACATGTGGGAAAAGTTTCAGTTACCAACATAATTTGACTGTACACACGAGGACTCACACAGGTGAGAAACCTTTCTCATGTTTAACGTGTGGGAAACGTTTCCTTGAAAAGAGTAGGTTGAATAGCCACGTGAGAGTTCACACAGAGAAGAAGCCATTCCCTTGTCCAACCTGTGGAAAAGGTTTCAGGCATAGTCTGAAATGTATTGGGCACTTAAGTAGTCACCCTGGTGAGAAACCGTTTCTATGTATGACATGTGGGAAAGGTTTCCGTCGTAAAAGCAGTTTGATTCGTCACACAAGAACTCACACAGGTGAGAAGCCTTTCTCATGTCTAACCTGCGGAAAAATTTTCAGTCAGGAACATAATTTGAAATGCCACATGAGGAGTCACACAGGTGAGAGGCCTTTCTCTTGTGTAACATGTGGAAAAGGTTTTAGTACAAAAAATATCTTGACTGGTCACATGAGAACTCACACAGGTGAAAAGCCTTTCTCATGTGTAAAGTGTGGGAAAAGTTTCACTCGCAAACATAATTTGAATAGTCACATGAAAATTCACCTTGGTGAGTTCTCATGTGTAAACTGTGGAAAAGGTTTCAATCAGAAAATTTGTTTGAACCAGCACATGAAAGCTAATTCAGAACAGAAACCTTTCTCATGTACAAGCTGTGAAAAAGGCATCAACGACAATGGTACTTTAACTTGCCATATAACAGCTCACACAGGAGAAAAACCCTTCTCTTGTATAAAGTGTGAGAAGAGTTTCCGTTACAAACATGTTTTGAAGGTCCACATGAGAATTCACACAGGTGAGAAGCCTTTCTCTTGTATAACATGTGGGAAGAGTTTCAGACACAAAAACTATTTGAACAGCCACATTAGAACTCACACAGGAGGGAAGCCTTTCACGTGTGGAACCTGTGGAAAAGATTTTTATGAAAAAAGTCATTTAACGGACCACATGAGAAGGCATGACCTGAAAAAAATGTTCCATTGCAACACCTGTGGAAAATATTTCAGTGAAAGAGATGAGTTAATTGGACATATAGAAACACACACGTTTGAGAAGCCTTTTCCATGTATGACATGTGGGAAAAGTTTTGGTCGTAAAAGTAATTTGAATCGTCACATAAAAACTCACACAGATTAGAAGAATTTCTGATCTAAAGCGGTGGAAAAAATTTAGTTCCAGGAGTAGTTTAACTCAGTGGTCCCCAACCGTTTTATTACCGCGGACTGGTCAAGACTTAGAAATTTTCTCTGCAGCTCGCGGGGGGTGGGTGGGAGG